AAAAAAAAAAAATGGGCGCTATTTATCATTTAGTCCAGGGCTTCTAATTTTTCAAGACCGGCTCTGCTCAAACTGTTTCTCGTCATATGGTTAACTTAGGCAACTCTTTCGTATATAAACATGTAAAATGAAGTAAAATTTTTCTCATATTCAAAATGTGTTGGTTGCCTGTTGTATAGTGCAAGTTTTGGTTTCTCAATGTATAGTTAAATATGACAAGTTTTTGGTATATAAATGAGGAAGGTTAGTATGTAAAATGAAGTAAAAATGACATATTTATTTAATTGTTTTATTATATACTTCCTCTTAATTTAATAAGTGTCATTTAAAAAGTTGCACAGAATATTTTTTTTGCCAATAATAACTCGCATTAATGAGGATATGAATGAATATTTTGAGAAAGATGAGGACTGTTATTAGCTAGATGAGTGTAATAATGAAAAAATATATACAAAATATTCAAAACGTCATTTATTTAGTTAATTGTTGATAAAGCCAAAAAGACATTATAAAAAAATAGGAGATAGTAGTAATTATTATTAAAGATGGGTAATTATATTTTACATATGAAAGTTATATAAGCATAAAAATTATATTGTAATTTTTTTCTTTAATTAATTTATTTAAAATTTAATATTTTTTTTTAATTTCATCAAGCATTGTTTTTTTAGTTAAACTAATTGGTTTAAATAGTATAGTCAAAGCATAAGCAATTGTTATAATAGTAAATTTAATATTTTTTTTTTCAGCTAATTGATAAGATCTGTCAAAATTATAAAAGTTATATTATTCATTACATTAAGTCCAATCAATATAGTAGTTCATATATGCAGTTAAATGATTTTGTCTGTTTAATTTTACTAATGTTAATATTTTCTAATATATAACCTATAATTTTAATATTATATATATACATATAATTTATAATACTATTTTACATTTGTTCATGTGCAAAGTGGATAGTATTGTCAAGAGGACTGTTAACGATCAAAATGTTTGCGAACAAAAAGTTTCTTCGACTTCGTTCATGTTTTACAAGAGCTCGTCGTTTGTTAATTGAGTCCAGTTCGAATAAAAAATTAGGCTCGTTTAATAATCGAACGAACATGTTGGCGAAAGTTCGATAATGTTCACTAACACATTCATATAATTTTATTTATTTTCTTGCTTATTTATGAGTTAGTTTTAATAATAAAATCTGAAATATGAAAATATTTTTATTTATTTTCCTTATCTTCTGAGTTCTAAGGTATTCGAACCAACATATTTCGAGTTAATAAAACATATTTAAAAAGTTTAATTTCTAAATTATTTAAACACGAATGATCTCAAACTTTGACGAACAATAAATAATAAACTTGAACATGATTTCTTACTCGAAAAATAAATGAACTGAACATAACCAAATACAAGCTCAAAATGTCCAAACTCAGCTAGTTGGGGTGGGTTACACACCTAGTCAAGACTATAGTTTGAAGTTAATATCGACACGAGTGTTCGCTTCAGAATTTGAAAGCCACGGCAAGAATGTAGCACCGAGAAAGCTGAATTGTGATATTAATGGAATTTCAAGTGGTGAGGATTGAGCAATCACAAACACGAATTGTGGGGTGCTGTGGAAAATCATAAATTGACAACAAACCATCGGTACGAAGCGAAGGAATGTTCTCAACATTGATTGAAAACAAAAAAAAGGTATAATTCGTGTTCTGGATTTCGATTTACTGTTGAAGACGACGATGAGATTCAGCGCCTCCGGCGGGATTTTCCGGGCCCTCGCGGCGGCGGGCAGACAAGTGAGATGGCTGTCGACGGCGAAGCACGAATCGGTGCCCAGTGAGGCGGCGGACGTAGTGGTGATTGGCGCCGGCGTGGTGGGCTTGGCGGTGGCGCGTGAGCTCGCGGTGAATCTCGGGAGGGAAGTTGTGGTGGTGGAGTCCGGGCCCACCTTCGGGACGGGCTCGAGCTCTCGCAACAGTGAAGTCATTCACGCCGGCATTTATTATCCTCCTAATTCTCTCAAGGTAGCTTTTTAGTTTAGAAAAAAGAAAAAGGGTAGCTAATAGATTAGTTCTTTTTGTGGCTGTTTCACTAAGCATGGTTTTTTTCAATTTTGTGAGCTTAATGTGAATTTGTATATCTGCTTGCTGGGTATTTTGGATACACTTGTGTATATTTTCAGTGTTGAGCTGGAGTTATCGAATTCGGTTTGGGTATTTCGGAGTGTTTGCAATCACTTATGGCTAGTGCAAGCAGTAATTTATCGAAAACCAAATTCGGCAGCTTTTGCTGCTAAAAAGTGTTGATTGATGAAGTTGAGAAGCATCAGCCTTTCTCTTTTTGTTCAAATTATCAGTTAATTTTTCTATTATGTTACTGTATTCTGCTATTTGATATCCTCTGCTCGAAGCACAATTATTGTTGCTATTCGCTTAGCATGTTTTTCAATATTGCGATCTTAATGGAAATTTTGTATATCTGCCTGCTCGATATTTTTGTATATCATTGTTGTATTTTCAGTGTGCTTGAACCGGTGTTGTCGAATTTGGTTTGGGTATTTCGAGTGTTTGCAATCTCGTATGGCTGGTGCAAGCAGTGATTTAGCGAGAATAAAAAATCGTCAGCATCTGCCGCTAAAAAGTGATAAATTGATAAAATTGAGAAGCATTACTTGTTTTCTAGTGTTTGCTAGCTTTTCTGTTATTTTCAAATTATCGGTTAACTTTTCTATTTTTTGAAAGTCTTGATGGGATAAATTTGGTATCCAATTATTACTTGCAGGCGCTTTTCTGTGTTAGAGGGAGGCATTTGCTATACCAATACTGCAGAGAACATGATATTCCTCATAAACAGATAGGGAAGCTAATAGTTGCCACCCGATCTTCAGAAATCCCGAAGCTGAACGAGCTTTTGACTCGAGGGATTGAAAATGGAGTCGAGGATCTTAGAATGATGGAGGCTGAAGAAGCCAAAAAGATGGAACCGGAATTAGAATGCACGAAAGCTTTATTATCACCTGCCTCAGGCATAGTCGATAGCCACTCGTTTATGCTATCCCTATTGGTATGACTCTTATTTAATCTTAAAAGAAGCTCTTTTTTTAATTCGCTTTTTTCTTTGTTTTAGGGTGTCGGTGAAAGTTGACAAGTTGTGTTGAGAACAAGATTTCACGAGTGCTCTTATATAGATGGATATAAATATGGCATAAAATGATCATAAAGTATGGTTTGAAATATGAAGGATTAATTTATGCAATATCATGAGCATGAAACCAAAAAAAAGAAAAGAAAAGAAAAATGATCATTTCAGCCTTTTGGCTTGCAAGAATCGTCTTTTTCAAGCTTTAGCAAATACGCTCGAAGAAAAGCAACATTCTTTCGTGTGCTTTATATATAAACTATCTATTTTAGAGTTATTATACAAATATTGGCAGGATTAATTTATGCAAAATCATGAGCATAAAACACAAAAAAATGATCATATCAGCCTTTGGCTGGCAACCCAACTGTCTTTTTCGAGCTTTAGCAAATACTTTCGAAGAAAAACAACAATCTTTTTCGTGTGCTTTATATATATAAACTATGTTTTTAGAGTTATTATACAAATATTGACAGGGATATAGCATTTAGGGGGAAGCTGAGAACCATGGAGCAATCTTCTCATACAATACTACAGTAATTGGCGGTAAATACGAAGAAGCTCGTTTGCAGCTGTATGTTTCCGAAAGTCAGGGTCTTAAAAACCAGGAAGAATATTTATATAATCCTTTGAGGCCCGACTTAATTCTTCGCCCGAGGCTTGTTGTGAATTCAGCCGGTCTTGGTGCTCTGGCTCTATCCAAGAGAATCCATGGCCTGCATAATGGAATTATTCCAAAACCATACTTTGCTCGTGGCTGCTATTTTACGCTATCGAGTATCAAAACTCCACCTTTTAAGCATTTGATTTATCCCATACCGGAAGATGGCGGATTAGGAGTGCACGTGACGTTGGATTTAAACGGCCAGGTCAGATTCGGTCCCGATGTTGAGTGGATCGATGGCATTGATGACATTTCGAGCTTCCTCAACTTGTAAGATTTTTTTTTTGAACTCAATATTTTTATTATTGCACTGAAAAATTTCCTACTGTTTACATATCTTCCCCCCTTGTCCATTGCAAATGGAGCTGGAAGAGTCATTGTTGACAATTCTCCTGACATAGTGTTAATAATGGACTAGATCAAAATGGCTCAATTAAATTCTAGTGCTTCTTCTATTAGTGAAGTTCCTAGAAAAAAAAATATATCAAACGACCAATGTACCTTGGGTCGCTACGGAAACAACCTCCTTGTATAATTACAAGGGTAAGGTCTGCGTACAACTGATCTCCTAAACCCCAACCAGTTGGGAATCTGGTTGGGAATATACTGGGTATGTTGTTGTTGTACATATCTTCCCCTCCAATGGGAATATGTATATTTTGATGAAAGGTTACTGGGAGTTAATCAATCTTTTTTTTTTTTTCTTTCTGCAAAATATATAAAAAAAAAAAAATGATTTCTATTTTACATGAATTTACACTCTTGTCCTAAGGTTTGATTATTCGGTGCCTGGAGATCATGCAAACCGATTTTATCCAGAGATAAGAAAGTATTATCCAACTCTAAAGGATGGATCTTTGGAGCCTGGCTATGCGGGTATTCGACCGAAACTTTCTGGGGCAATGAAAGATCCTGCTGATTTTATTATACAGGTAGCATTTTATCCCATTAAATTTTCTTTTTTCCTGTACTTAATTCAGTCTTATATCACATCACAGTTCAAAATCTCTCAAGCCTCTTGTTACATGTTACCTGTCTGGAAAATGCTCAATTGCAACTGCCTGTTAAAATTGGCTAAAATTGTCACATTTCCTTAAAATATAAATTTGATTAAAATAATCCTTCAAACTTACATAATGCAGAATATTAACAGCAGAAAATTGTGCTCGAATTTTGCAGGGAGAGGATACTCATGGGATTCAAGGCCTTATAAACCTTTTCGGTATAGAATCACCCGGGCTCACTTCAAGTCTGGCCATTGCTGAACATGTTGCTGCTCGATTATCGAGATAGATAATCTGATTTTGCCAATATGTTACAAAGAATACCAGACATTTGAAATAATGTTAACAGAAATTTACAATGGAGATGAAATCATATGTATTTTTTTTAACCTTTTGTATACTTGAAAACATGTAATCTACTTCACAATTTCTCTTTGTTCTTTCTATTGTTAGCAACATAATTAGCAGATAAAATAAAAGGCAACCATATTAGTCCAACTTTCTTCACAACCTTATTACATTACATTAAAATGAAGATGCCCCATGATAAATTCATTCCAAAACCTGTTGAGAATATTTCATCAGAAAATTGTGTTACAATCCTTAGTTCCTAAATCTGAGTACATTTAATCAACACATTTTTTTTTTTAAAAAAAAAAAATGTCAGCGTTTTCTTTCCTGCCGCCACTTGTACACGGGTCCTGAGGCCGACGAAACAATCTCATCGTCATGAAGTTTGCGCTTTCTGCCCTTTTTCTGTATCAAACAGTAAAAAAAAGTATGTTCTTTGCATAATAGTTTCACCAAACAAAGTAACAAACAAGATGATTAAAATTTAAAAGTACTATGTTATATAAGATTTTGGGTTCAAAATATCTGTACCTGCAATTCTTTCTGCATAGCCATATCCAAGTAAAGTTTCTCTAGCTCCCGGGCTCTGTTTTTCCTAGCCTCGAGTTCTCGGTAGGAAGCAGCAGTTTTCCTGCCCGTTAATCACATTTAGCGCAAACAATCAATAAAGTCGTGCTGAGAAAAAAGCAGCCATTTTGTACTTCACCAAGTCGTCAAAATATTTATGTCGGTTAGTTAGTGTTATGACGTATGTGTGTGGTCAAGACCGAACGGACGAAATTGAAGCCGTAAGCGACGCGGTTCAGTATCCGTCGCCGCATCCGTGAACGGACCGAATGGTAAGAGATCGAATGGAGGCGCGACGAGACCGCATGGGAGATTAAGATAGTGAGATCTCTCCTAATCATTACCAGTATCGTCCGTACTGTGCGCATTTAATGAGGGAAATATGAAAATCTTAATCCAAGGAAGCTCAACAATGGCGGTACACGTGGCGCGATCCGGATAAACCAATTATATTGGGATTAGACTGTGGAGTACATTAGCATTTAATTCTGAATGACTAATATCCAAAAATATCCTGTAAAAGAAAACAAAAATCCCAACAAAGGGAATGTAACAAGTTCTCCAACCTCCTATATAAGGAGCAAGAGACAACATTTAATGCAATGAGTAAATGATCTCATTAATTACTCTATAAGTCACGGATAGAACAACCATCCGGTTTGAACTTAGCACCGAATCACACACATAATTCTATTCGTGTAGACCGAACGAAGTACACATCCTAGTGTACGGTTCGAACACATTGTTGGTCAATTTTTAGACATCAATAACGTACAAATAAATATATTTACTTAGCTCAATTACATTTAGCATTCGATTTCAATGTTATAATACGCAGAAAAGTGTGTGTAGTTGGATATTGTGCCGTTGCCATGCATTTTTTTTTTTATTGTTTTCTTCAAATCATTTAGTGGTTTTACCAGTTGATAAACGATTAGACTAACAAAAAGGAGAAAAATCAGAAAGAGGGGTTATTTTAATTACCTTTGGATATCCTTAGGCAAGTCCTTGAAAGCAGGGTTTTTTCCTCTGTTTTCCGGGACTTTAGATCGTAGATCTCTAGCTTCATCCCTAAAGTGGTACATTACATAACATTTTTTGGTTAATAATTTACAAAATTGAATATTCACCTTTGAGTAAACTGCTTCAGTTTCGAATTTAAACAAATCATATGCAAACTTTTTGCAGGGCAGAAAAATAACAAAACGTTAAAAAAGCCTAACTACTAACCTGTCCTCAACATAATAAACGTGCTTGCTTGACGAGCGGTTGTCATCATCAAGGCAATGCAGCATCCCACTTAGCCTCTCGATTTTCTGCATTAAAAATATAAAAAAAAAATATATAGTTCTTAAAGCTACCATTAAAAAAAAATATAGTTCTTAAAATAAAATCCCAAGACCTTTTTTTCGGTTTGAAGTTTCTGAAAAATGTACCCAATGTCTTGAGTCTTCATCAACATGAGCTCTTCTTTAGTATACTTGTTTGCTTCACTCCTTTATAACTCAACAACAAATCAAACTCAACAGTGTGAATGACTTTTTTTCAAGATTAAACTTATAAACTTCAAACTTAATGAAGGTAAAGCTATCTTACTCCAATCTGTGGACTCCGTTAACCATTCTTGTTTTAACCATCTTGAAGTAAAACTCATCCGGGTTCTTAAAGGCCGCTTTTTCTTTAAGTTTCTGCAACGAGCAAATACAATCAATACTAAGATCACTTCAAAAGCTTCACTAAAATTCCATTTTTGGGGTAACTACACAAATAACCAACTAGAAAGAGTACCTGGATAGCTTGCTCCTTTTGGTGGTAAGCTTTCGCACGCTTAACGTAATCCTTATGTTTTTCGAGCAGCCCGAATCTCCTTCTAGATTGTCTCTATAAGCAAAAAGCCATCAAGTAAATTGAGGATGAAAAAAAAAAACAACAACAACATAAATTGAAAACTCTATTCAGAAAAATCAAAACCCAGAATCAATAAAGAGCTAAGAAGTCGGTATGTTTTGATAGGAAAAAAAAAAAAAACAAACTCACGGCTGAACACGCTCCTTGTGAGCCCTTCTCGGGATGGCATTCCTTAAAGACGACATTTTTATGCACCTAATGCGAAAATATTCCAACAAATTTTAAGATAATTTCAAAAAATAAGCAAATCAAGAAAAACCCAGTTCATAAACTTGTAAAGAAAACCTCATAAAATCAAACTGATTAAGAATTTTACGAGTGAAACAACAAAACTTATCGTCGCCACTGATAAAGCAGAAAAAAACAGGACAAGAAAGAAGCAAATAAATTCGTAGAAAAATCAGTTACTGTACTAACAGAGAGAATTTGCCGGACGAAAAGCTTTAGCGGATGCCGAGGTTGGTTAGCTAGAGCTTAACGCTGCCGCCGCCGCAGCCGCCGGTGGTTGTGATGCTGCAGAGCGATATTGTTCATATAGTACTGGGCTTTCTTGTCCAACTGTGTAGGTTGAGACTTAATATATTTATACAAAGCTCGAGTTTATGGGTCGTGGGCCTCTAAAATTGTAAATAAATTAAATATTTCAATTATAACTTAATTAATTTTTAATTTTAGCATTTGAGAATAATTCATTATTCCTATACAATGCTAGTAAGCATGCCTAATAGTTAGGTATAGAAGTGTAAGCAAGAGCAACTCGAATTCATAGTATTCGAGCTTGATCTTGGAGCTTTTATCGAGCTGAATGGACTCGACTCATTTAGTGCACATTCGAGCTTGAATTGTTTATCAATCTTAACGAGTCGAGTACGAGTTCGAGCTCTTAATAAATCGAGTTCGACTCATTAACTAACAAACGAATAAGCCAGCTGAAGACCGACCAGTTATTAATGGCTCTTTGATAAATTTTAACAAGTCGAGATCCCAACCTAAATGAGCCAAATAGAAGCTTTAACGAACCGGACAATAGAAAATCATTTAAAGATACATTTTTTTTTTTCAAGCCTTAACAAGCCGAGCCAAACCCAGCTCGTTACTAAACAAACTCGAGCTCAAGCAACTCATTTCATTTAATAGAAGCTTATGCATGCCAAGATGAAAACACTACTGCAAATCTAAAATGAGAACTATAATGTTATGCAACATATAAAACTAACTAAACTGTCACACTAAAAGTCAACCTGAGCACTATTTGTTTCTTTCAAACATCTAAAAACTCAAATTCTACTGTATCTAAACAAAGATGAGCTAAGTCCATCAACCATCCAAAAAACCATCTTTACGGGCCCGGCCCGGCCCAACATCATCACTATTCGCATCATCACTCTCCGAGCCCGAGCATGTGTAATCCATTTCCCTATCCGTTAACTCGATCTGCTCACACTCAGAAGCAACCGAGACCTCTCTCCTCACAACGTCTAAGACTAAATTCGCGTCGTCCACCACAATGCTCGGCCCGCATGCCCACGAGCCGAGGCCCGATTCTTCATCTTCCAAGTCCAAGTTCTCGTGGGCCACGGCAGCCCACGAGAGGAAGCGTTTGATGCGGCCCATGTGGTTGAGGATGGAGATGGACTCGTCGATTGCGAGCTCGATTCTGCAGTTGGCCGTGATAACCGGCAGCTTCTCCCACGTGCAGCGGCGACCATTGTTGGCCGCCTTCTGGAGCTCCCCGTGTGACGGATATTTTTGTATCATCTTCGACAGCTGAAAATTGCAGTAAATTCAATCTAAAATAAACGGGACGTACTGAATATGAATTTTTTCAAAAAATTCTAATCATTTTTAACCAATTACTTTTTTTTTTTTCTTTTCTAAACTCAAATCTAACTCAACTTTATCTCAACCTCACTATCCTCATATTATCAATATAATTAAATAGTACCACTTAATCATTCTTACACATTACATCAGTTTTAATTCATTGTTTTTCACACACCTAATTTTAACTAATCATCACTTCTCATTAAGGCTGCAAACGAGCCAAGTCGAGTCGAGCATTTGGCCTTATCGAGCAGGATTGATTTTTTTTTTTTTTTTCAGTTGCTCGAGCTCGAGCTCCACTCGAATTCAAACTGCTCGAGCTCGGTTCGAATTTTTTCAAGCAATTTTGTAAAATAACCCTTAAATATACATATGTACAAGAGTATTTTAATAATTTCATATATCTCGAGCCGCTCGCGAGCCGCTCGACAATGTAAAATATAGGCTCGAGTTCGACTCGAGTTCGTGCTCGAGCCGCTCGGGATCGACTCGAGTTCGATCAAACTAGAGCTCGAGCCGAGCTTTGACTCGAGCGCTCGCGAGCTGTTCGACTCGTTTGCAGCCCTACTTCTCATCATCCTTCTCCTACTTTTACATTAAATCAACTTTAATTATTTTATTTTGAATATTATTTTAATATAAATTCAAAAATTCCACTCAACTAACCATACCACACCACGTTTTTTCAAAATTAATCATACCAAACCAAAAAAATCGAAACAAAATCAAAATATTTTTACATCCAAGCATCCTCATATAATTTTGAACATATTCTATGATGATCAATAGAAATGAGTACGAAGCATATCGTTGGTTCATTTATTCGGCTAGGAAAAAATAGGCTTCGATTCTTTTCAATGTCGACTTTAGAACATCGCAAGGAAAATATGGATTTTGAACATTGCAAGGTTTTGACTCGAACGAATATTTTGATCAAAATGAGTGAAGCTCAGCTCCTTTTGCCGATGGTTTTACTTTTACTCTCATCAAATTCGTGATCTTGTGCAATTTAAACAGTGCCTTTGCTTCATCTCCTCCCAAATGATAATTGCAAGTTGCAACTGTTTTCTTTTTTTTTTT